ATACATCTCAGGACTGTGGACCACATCGGGAGGTTTCTGTTTGGAGAGTGCAGGGGCCAGGCCACCTCCTGCCGCCTGCCTTGTGGGTCAGCCCTGCGGCACGTGATCATGGGCTCAGCAGGCGGAACGCAGAGCACTCTCCACAGCTGGGAAAGGTGCACAGGAGCTTTCCTTCAGGGAGAGAGAGGGAGGAGTTCCCAGAAAAAGTTTTGAAAAACAAAGATCATAATACCGTCTCCCCTCTCTTGTGCTTCTCCAGGTGCAGAGGTTTAGGTTTATTTTCTTTGGTTGTTGCCAAATCATTGTTTTCATTCAGTAATCATAATTTTATGTTTTTTTCACAATCATCCCCTACTCTCACCAGACCTTTCATCTGGAGGGGTAGTGTGCAAGAGGGACCAAACACCTTCACAGAGAAACATTTCTATACAACTTAACTAGAAAGACATCATGTTCAGGAATTGTTCAAGACAGAATCCTGAATTTTTAAAAAATTTCAATATCAGCTTACATAACCTTCTTCCCCTTAAGTGAGCAGCCTAGAAAAGGTCAAACCCTCTTTGAAATATGTTTTTATTGAAATATATTTTTCATAGAGAGGAAGGAAGAGGGAGAGAGGGATAGAAACATCAATGATGAGAGAATTGATCAGCTGCCTCCTGCATGCCCCGCACTGGGGATCGATCCTGCAACCCAGACATGGGCCCTGTCTGGTAATCAAACTGGGACCTCCTGGTGCTTGGGTCAGTGCTCATCCACTGAGTAACACTGGCGAAGTAGGTCAAGCCCTTTCTGAGGCGAGCTGCATTGAATAATCCAATTGCACTAAGGTGAGTCCACTAGGGGAAAGGTGAGGGCAGCAGAGTCAGGTAATCAGCTGATGGTTGCAAACAGCAGCTCACCAGGAGAGCCAGACACAAGGACCCCTCCACCCCACAGTGAGACATGTTTCCGAGGGGGTTAGGAGCCTTTTCATCCTGTCACCCGTGAGTGGAGGGTCACAGCCCCTGAGAGGCATCCTCTCCCAGCTTGCAGCTTTGGGCAGGTCACAGGTTAAGTCAGTCTCTGTCGGAACATACAGCTGGTCAGCAAGCTTGATTTCAAATGGTCCCAGCCAAAAGCACGCCCTTTCCTGTGGACATTGTATGTGGTTCAGACAGTTTAGCCCAGCATTCTTGATTTCCTCTCAGTATAGGCCCCACGGAGAGGGGACCTAATGTGCAGAGGTCACTCACTGCCTGAGTTCTGTTTATCGAGCCCAGACCTGCTTTCAGTTCCACTCACACCGAGGCTGGAAGCCTATACCAGACAGTATCAGCTTGCACCTTAGACTCAAGCCCAGACAGTATCAGCTTGTAGCTTAGAATCAAGCCCAGGCACTGAGGATCTGTAAGTTCAGGATTCTGTTAAAAGCCAGAGGCTTTTCTACGGCAGCACCAAAGCAAGATACTGCAGGGCCAGAAGTCCCCGTGGCAGTATCTTTTCTCCACCCTTTAGCTGGATCTTTCTTTGAGTCCAAAATGATCCACTCACAAACCTGTACATCTGTCTCTAAGATTCAGACTTCTGCCTTCACAAGCACTCACTCACAAACTAAATCTGCTTTTTAGAACTTCAAACGTGTATTTCCATCTGTGGATCACCTCTCTTTCTTCCTGTGTCCCTCTTGCCAGAGGCTCCAGTAAGCAGAAGTCTATATCATCCATTGTGTGGGAGAGAGGAAATGTCCCCTCTTTTTCCTCATTATTCTGGCTGGTCTAGTCAAATTGAGATGAGACAGATTAATAGGAGAAAAATAATCACATTTATTATTTATGTACATATGGGGTTTTGTAAGAATCTGGAAAGGATGGACAAATGAAGCAGTTGAGACTTACATATCATTTCGAGCTAAGGAGAAGGGGGGGCTAGAATAGTAGTTTGGAATTCAAAGGGAATATAGGCAATTCACAGGTAGGTGGAAAGGAGCAAGTATTTTGGTGAACAAATTCTTGCAGGGCCACCCAGAAATAGTGGGGCAGGGAGGGGAGTCTAGCAGACTTTGCTGGGTTTCTCCCTGTCTGCCTCACTTGGTTCTTATTACGCTAAGGTGATCTTCTAAAAATTCCTGCAGCAGGAATTTTTAAATCTCAGTTCCTTTAGGCAGGTAAGGAGTAAGACGAGGTTAAAAGGCTCTTCTTGAGTCTTTTTGTTTCTTAAAAATAACCAGCTCGCCCTGACTGGTTTGGCTCAGTGGATAGAGCGTTGGCCTTCAGACTGAAGGGTCCCAGATTCTATTCCAGTCAAGGGCATGTACCTTGGTTTCGGGCACATCCCCAGTGGAGGGTGTGCAGGAGGCAGCTGATCGATGTTCCTCTCTCATCGATGTTTCTAAATCTCTATCCTTCTCCCTTCCTCTCTGTAAAAAATCAATAAAAAATATTTTTTTAGATAATCAGCTTAAATTATATCTCAAAAAGGCATATTTTGGGCTAGCAAACTCTGCTCCTCCTCAGTTACAGAAACTTATCCTGCTCCCAATACTCATAGAGTCTAAGTTACAACCCACCCAGCAGTAGCAAAAGCATGGAAGCTGTGTCCCCGACACATTTTTCTGTGCAGCTTTCCCAGGTTATTCCTCTGGCATATATGGGATTACAAACATTTAACATTTTCTATCAATTTTTACTATGCATTCAAATGTAATAGCCACAAAACACAGAGCCACTGTAATTTCCCCCCTTTCTCCCCCATCATTGCAAATTTACTTAAAACTTTAACACTTGCTGTGTTAGTTAGCATCACAGCAGCCAGGGAAGATTGGGCTGGAATGCAGGGGAGGGAGGACAGTAGGGGAAACTGCTGCAGCTGCAGCGAGGCTGGGAGAAAACTGCTGGAATGTTACCTCCCTCCCCTTTTTTTCTGGTGTATCCAAAATTTGGCTCCAGCCCTAAGACCTAATTTAACTCCCTTCCCCTCACCACTACTCCCCACCCCCTGTTTTAACATTTTTGACCTTTCACCTTTGGAAATTTGGCGGGGAGTGGGTAGTCCTTTCTCCTATTCCAAGAAGAGAACAAACCCAAAGGCATCACCACTTTAACCAGGATGGCCCAGAGCAGCTGGGGGCCCAGCGAGCCTGCTCTCCTGGAGCTGGATCTGTTCTCAAGTTCCAAAAGTTACTTCTCCCTCTCACACACACAGTGCTCCGCTGCTGCTGCATGCTGAGGTGACTCCATACCACCGGGAACCCGAGATTCATCATACCCTGCCCTTATCCTTCCTTTCCCAAACCGCTCGCACTGGATTTCAGTGAGTCAGGGTCAATTAATGTTGGGGGTCCCCAAAACGACCCCTAGGTTCAGTGATTGCTGGGAGGACTCAGCATATAGTTGTACTCACAGCTGTGATTTATTATAGTGAAAGAATACAAAGCAAAGTCACAATGAGGCAAAGTCCAAAGGAAGCCAGATGCAAGTTTCCAAGGAGAGAGAGCCTTTGGACCCAGCAGAGTGCCGTGGCACAAGTGACAGCACAGGAAATGTTCTCTTCCAGAGGCTCATCAGTGGCCCAGCACTTGGAATGTTTAATGGAGACTAATCCTGTAATCACTCTCTGTCTAGCATGTACCAAAATTGCAGACTTGAGAAGGAAAACAGATGTTGAGCATAAACCACATTGTTTTTCCAAACAGTTTAGATACAGTGAGTCACTTTGAGCAGTTAGAGAGCGGGAACCTCTTATCTTAGTAAGGACAACTTTCTACTCCCTTCCAAAGCCCTACACCTGGGAGCTTCCTTGCCTCCTCTCCTCTGTGCATCTAGTCAGTCACTAGGTAGTACCATATCTACTTCCTTAGCATCAATCAGTATTCCCACTTCTTTCATTCCATGATCCTCTTCAGGCTCTCATTATCTCTGAGTTAGGTGACTGTCACAACCTTTAGACTGGTCACCTTATCCAACCCTCCCTCCATTCGATTGTCCACCCTTTTAGTAAAATGAGCATGTCACTCCTACTTAAAACTCTTACGTGAGTTCCACTGTTCTCAGGATGAAGTTCAAACTCTTCAGTAAGATTAGTCAGGACCTTGGCTTCTTCGTGCTTCTTTAGCTGCTTCTCTCATCTACTTTGTCACTCACCGTGCACGTCCCAATTTCCTGAACTCTTTTTATTTTGTCTAATGTACCATGCTTATTTTCTTTTCTTATCATACCTGTTCCCTCTGTCTGTACTATTTTTCCCCTCCTCACCCTGCAGCCTTTCAACCACTCCCTCTGGGACAGCAACCGCTGGTCCGAGGACCACTGGTGGTCCGTGAGGTCCGAAAGGTTGGCGACCACTGCTCTGGGAGGTTCATTGTAAGCTTTAGTTCCAGAGAGGGGAAGCTTTCCTTTCCATAACATCGATCACACTTTTGTTTAATGCCTGTCCTCCTTGTGAGGCAGTAAGTTCTGTAGATCAGAGACCTCTGCTCCACCTCATTCCTGGCACCTAGGAGATCCTCAGCACTATGGAACAAATTAAAGATAGGGTCTCCACCCTTAAACTCTTAAGTCTAGTAGGAGCTAGAGTATGGTAAAGAAAGAAACTCAATATGTATTTTAAGTGCTCTAGTAAAATGTTGAGGGATCATTTTCCTAGTATTTATATTATTGGAGAAATTGACTTGGAAAATAGGAGAGTTGTGCCAAGCAGTGGAATTGATTCAGTTACATTTGCCTCATTTTTTGCTCACTAGTTGGACAGAAGTTGGACAGTAGACTGCATTCTAAGGTTATTGTATCTCAAGACCTTCAGCAATCCTAAGCTATTTACAGAGCTGGGTAGTCAGCTATTCATGCTCACTAAGTTGACTCACCTTCAAGTCACCCCTAAATAGGATTAGTGCTGACTTTTTATATATTCCCCATTCCAAATCATGTATCTTCATCTTTAAATTCTAATAGCTGAAATTGACGGTATTGAATCCATGAATACCACAGGTCCTGTTCATGTTTCAATTTTTCTTATCTTTCCAGCTTTGACCGCCATTGAAGGCACAGCACATGGAGAGCCCTGCCACTTCCCTTTTCTTTTCCTGGATAAGGAATATGATGAGTGCACGTCAGATGGGAGGAAAGATGGCAGACTATGGTGTGCTACAACCTATGACTACAAGGCAGATGAAAAGTGGGGCTTTTGTGAAAGTAAGTATTGATTTGTAGGAGGAATTTCCCGTTGCTCCATGTCTTGAAAAATATCTTTAAGGCCTCTGCTAGCCATCTTTTTCCACCCTTGACAGACATGGTCTGTCAACCATGTTGATAATATGGTTATAGCCTTAAGGAACAGAGTTTAGCATAGGAAGCATGCAGTGTACTCAGGCAACTTATCACACTGTCTTATTTAGAGAGGGCTTTCTGATGGTGTGCACAAGGAGATATGTTTAAGATTTCCTGTTGTTTTGCCGAAACCGGTTTGGCTCAGTGGATGGAGCATTGGACTGCGGACTGAGGGGTCCCAGGTTCAATTCCGGTCAAGGGTATGTGCAACTTATCACACTGTCTTATTTAGAGAGGGCTTTCTGATGGTGTGCACAAGTTGTTCTGCAAAACCTCAGGCAGGCTGCTAATTTAATAAATTAAAACATTTTTAATAGTAAAGGAAACAGCATTATGGAGGAGGTTAAGAGTGATAAGGAAGAGCCTACCTTGTGTGGCTGAATGGTTGATCATCGACCTATGAACCAGGAGGTCATGATTTGATTTCCAGTCAGGGCACATGCCTGGATTGCTGGCTCTATCCCCAGTGGGGACGTGGAGGCAGCAAGCCAATCAATGATTCTCTCTCATCATTGATGTTTCTAGCTCTCTCTCCTTCTCCCTTTCTCTCTGAAATAAATAAATATGTATATTTTTAAAACAGTGGCTAGAAGAAAAATAATAACTTTTAAAAACATTTTGAGCCCTGGCCTTTGTGACTTGCTTGATTGAGCGTCCTTTCCTCTGCACTGAAAGGTTGCGGTTAGATTCCAGGTCAGGGCACATGCATGGATTACAGGCTCAGTGCCCGGTAGGGGACATTCAGGAGGCAGTCCATCTATTTTCTTTTCTTGTACGATGTTTCTCTGTTTCCCTCCCATCTCCACCTTCTTCTCTTTCTCTCAAATCATTTTTTTAAAAAATCTTTTAGCCCTGGCCATTTTGGCTCAGTGGATAGAATATTGGCCTGTGGACTGGGGGTGTCGTGGCTTCAATTCTGGTTCGGGACACATGCCTGGGTTGTGGGCTTGACTTCCAGGGGCAGGAGGGGGCAGCCGATCGGTGATTTTCTCTCATTGATGTATCTATCTACCCTCTCCCTTCCTCTCTGAAATCAACAAAAATATATTTTTAAAAAATCTTTTAAAGGCATTTGGAGTAATATGTGCTGTGCTTAGTAGCATTTGAAAAATCATGTATGTTTCACTTTCCTGCATGTTAATGTCAGTATAAGGGGGTTGACCTCTAAAGGTATTTTTTCAGGAAAAACTTTGTAACTAATAAAGAACAACAGAAAGTCTTTTTCTTTTTTTAAAAAAATATATTTTATTGATTTTTTTACAGAAAGGGAGGGAAAGGGATAGAGAGCCAGAAACATCAATGAGAGAGAAACATCGACCAGCTGCTTCCCGTACACTCCCCACTGGGGATGTGCCCGCAACCAATGCACATACCCTTGACCGGAATTGAACCTGGGACCCCTCAGTCCGCAGTCCAATGCTCCATCCACTGAGCCAAACCGGTTTCGGCAAAACAACAGGAAATCTTAAACATATCTCCTTTGATTTCAAATAACACTATCAAAATAATGGCTCTGGTAGATAATTAGGCACTCGAGAAGATAACATCAAATATAGCCCATTTTGTGTATAGGCCAGTATGATTAGGAACTTTGGTATAATAAAATCAGATCTTTATATATAAGAACTCCTGTTTCTATGAATATTGGTCCTAATGAAATATTCAGATATCTCTTAATGAGTTCTAGATTTCTGATACAATACTATATTACAATAGCAAAATAATTTTTGAGAAATCTATAACAATTCTGTGATTTTAAGTATTGGTGAATAAGGAAAAAATAGAGAGCTTGAACTTCAATCAAGAACTACATTTAATAAAAATCAATTATTTTACAAATTTTTTATTATATAATTAAACAAATACCCTTATAAAGATACACACACAGTATTTCAGGTGAGGCTGTTAAAGTATCCTTTGAGCTGAAACTGGTTTGCTCAGTGGATAGAGCATCAGTCTGCGGACTGAGACGTTCTGGGTTTGATTCAGGTAAAAGGCCTGTACCTTGGTTACGGGCACATCCCCAGTGTGGGGTGTGCAGGAGGCAGCTGATCGATGTTTCTAACTCTCTCTCTTCCTTCCTCTCTGTAATCAATAAAATATATTAAAAAAATAAAGTGTCCTTTGAGTGCCCTAGCTAGTTTGGCTCAGTGGATAGAGCATCGGCCTGAAGACTGAAGGGTCCTGGGTTCGATTTCCTGTCAAAGGCACGTGCTCGGTTGTTTTTGGCTTCATCCACAGGAGGGGGCAGGTGGGGAGGCAGCTGATGAATGATTCTATCTCATCATTGATGTTTCCATCTCTCTTTCCCTCTCCCTTCTCTGAAATCAATAAAAGTATATTAATTTTTAAAAAGTGTCCTTTAACTAAAATGGTATTTTTCTGACTTTATTTTTTTTTTTAAATCATTATCGATTTTAGAGAGGAAGGGAGAGGGAAAGAGAGAAGCATCAATGATGAGAGAGAATAATTGATTGGCTGCCTCCTGCACATTCCCTACTGGGGATCGAGCCCATAACTTAGGCAACCAGAATTGAACATGGGACCCTTTAGTCTGTAGGCTGATGTTCTTTAAAAAAAAAAAATATATATATATATATATATATATATATATATATATATATATATATATATATTTTTTATCGATATTTTTACAGAGGAAGAGAGAGGGATAGAGAGTTAGAAACATCGATGAGAGAGAATCATCAATCAGCTGCCTCCTGCACACCCCACACTGAGGACGTGCCCACAACCAAGGTACATGCCCTTGACCAGAATCGAACCTGGAACCCTTCAGTCCGCAGGCTGATGGTCTATCCACTGAGCCAAACTGGTTTCGGCAAGGCTGACGTTCTATCTATCTGCTGAGCCAAACCAGCAAGAGTTGACTATTGTTTTTTAATAATCCTTCTGTCCTTCTCATTTTAGCTGACTTGGCACATGATCATAATTTGCTACTGAAATTTCAGTCAAATTATATTAAAAGTTTTAGAATTACTAGCAGAAAAGTACCCTCCAAAAGCAGGTTGATATTGCATGATGTAAACGAGTTGTGTGTTTTTTATGTTTTATCTTCTGTCAGGTAAAGGCCACAGCTAAAATATGTGTCTTTGGAGTCAGCTTTGTAAAGAAGGAAAGATCACTAATTGTGTTTGTGTTCTCAAAAGGCAGAATACACGCTGATGCTTGATAAATAATTGGTTAAAATTAAAATCCATGTAAGTGCATTTAACATTTTGTTTTTAGCTGAAGAGGAGGCTATTAAAAGACGGCAAATGCAAGAAGCAGAAGTGATGTACCAGACTGGGATGAAAATCCTCAATGGAAGCAATAAGAAAAGCCAAAAAAGAGAGTATGTAGCACTGGGAGTAGATGCCTCCCTAAGATAGGCCATTATAGAGATAAATAGCGAAGTTTTTTGTTTTTTTCTTAAAGTGTTTCACCAAAACAGAGGCTTTGTTAAGTTGCATTATAAGAAGTTTAATACCATATATGGACTTCAGTGGCATTCTTATCAGATATTAGCTTGTTAGAATAAAAAGGGAATAATACTGACCCCACCAATGTACAATGAGCAGAATGGAAATAATGGACTAAAGTTGTAGTTTCCAAGAACCAAGGATACATATGCTATTTAGAATTTAAAATTACATAAAACAAAAGGAGTTATTGTCAGGTGTTGTTGTTGTTCATTTGTTTTTGCTTTAAATATTCTTGCAGACAAAGACTAGAATTTAGGAATTTATGCTTGGAAAGAACATAAAACAAGTGACTGTCTTCTAATATTTTATGTCCCTTTAATTTCAGCTGGCTTATATTCTGTGCAAAGATGTTTTTAAAATTGCAATGGATTATTTACGGGACACCGTATTATTACAGTTCTTTCACTGCACATGTAGTTAATGTTTCTGGAAGTTTTGGAAATTACTATTAGTGTAATTAGACTATTCCAAGGTATTAGGATGACAGAGAAAACTGGTACCTTACTTAAAAACAGAGTAGCCAGTATGTTTTCCATACATAAGTAACATGACTATAGAATAAGGAAATTATTCGTGCTGCATTTCAGCAGATCTTTAAAAAATGTAATAAAAGTCCAAATTATTGCTAATGTGTTTTTAATTCTTTACATTTAAAGAGCGTATCGGTATCTTCAAAAGGCAGCAAGCATGAACCATACCAAGGCCCTGGAGAGAGTGTCGTATGCTCTTTTGTTTGGTGATTACCTGACACAGAACCTCCAGACGGCGAAAGAGATGTTTGAGAAGCTGACTGAGGAAGGCTCTCCCAAGGGACAGGCTGTAAGTCTCCTCCCACACAGCACTTGTTTATTTTAACAGCAGCTTACTCTTTGTGCCCTAACTTCTTTTGAAAATAAAAATAAAATATCTTGCCCAGTGATTAAGCATCTACCTATGAACCAGGAGATCAGGGTTCGATTCCCAGTCAGGGCACATGCCTGGGTTGCAGGCTCGATCCCCAGTGTGGGGTGTGCAAGAGGGAGCTGATCAATGATTCTCTCTTATCATTGATGTTTTTCTTTCTCTCCCTTCATCTATGAAATCAATTTTAAATAAAAATAAAATATCTTTGAATATTAATTTTGTGGCAGATCATTTTACCAAACTTCTTAGTCTTTTTCCTTTGTCTACGAACGTTTATGGTCACTTAAGGCATCTTGCCACAATTATGTTTGTAGTTTTCCAGATTTGATCTGTAGTGAATGAAACGTAAAGGTAATTGGCTTATACCTAAATTACCAGTGCATTTCTTTCCAAAGTTCTGATGCTCCAACTCTTATTAATCTTGATGTTTTTAAATATATATATATATATATATATATATACACACACACACACACACACACACACACACACACACACACATATATATATATATATATATATATATATATATATTACAGAAGCAGTATAGGTCCATTATAAGAAACTAGAAATACAAACTAAAAATGCTAAGAAAGTCAACAGTGCATATGTACAACTAGACATGAGCATTGGTAGTATGTTAGTGCATGCACATATCCCTAGATCTTTTTTTTTCTTTTTCTTTTTCTTTTTTTTTTGCTGTATAGATACATACAAATTCTTGATTAAAATAAGATGTCATTGTCTACTGTTCCATAATGTGCTCTTTTCAATTGTTAATCTTCACCTTTCTTTGCCAGTAAATTTCTATTCATATAATACCCTTAGCATATTCAGTGGCATTGAACAGAACATTTCCTTTATACTAGTTTTGTCCAAACCTAAACCCGGACTATACCTTATATTCGGTTGTTATTTGTAGCATTACCATCCCCTTTCTTTTTTTCTTTCTGTGTTAGAGAGTGCTCATTTTTCTGCAGATTGTCCTCACTCAGTTTATCCATTTACTTCTGCATAGTGTTCTTTAATTTGTTTTTTCATCATCTATATTTCCTATAAACTGGCTGTCACAGCTAAAGACTGTGATGAACTCTAGTTAAATATTTTTGGCTGGACTGCATTATGGGGATGTTCTGCATTCCATATTGCATCACACCATTTGATACAAAATATCTGTTTGATTCCCTATTAGTAATGGTAAGGTTGACAACTAGGATTTAGGGTGCCACCACATTTATTTAAAACTAGAGGCCTGGTGCACAAAATTCATGTATGGAGGGCGGGGGGGTCCTCTTAGCCCAGCCTGCACCCTCTAGTCCCCTGGGGGAATGTCCAACTGCCGGTTTAAGCCCAATCCCAGTTTTCGGGCCTAAACCAGCAGTTGGACATCCCTCTCACAATCCTGGATCATTGGCTCCTAATTACTCGCCTGCCTGCCTGGTCGCTCCTAACTGTCCCCCCTGCTGACCTGGTCACCCCTAACTACCCCCCGCTGCCGGCCAGGTTGTCCCTCAACTTCCCCCTCCCTGCTAGCCTGGTCGCTCCTTAACTGCCCTCCCCAATCCCCTGCTGGCCTGGTCACCCCTTACCTACCCTCCTTTCCCCCCCCCCCCCCGCAGGCCTGGTTGCCCCCAACTGCAACCCCCCACTGGACTGGTCACTCCTAACTGCCCCCCCACCTGCCTGGTCGCCCCCAACTATAACCCCCCTGCCAACTTGGTTGCCCCACACAGCCTGCTGTTCAGTCGTTTGGTCATCCCTCACTAAACCCCTTGCTAGCCTGGTTGTAGGCAGCCATCTTATGAGGGTGTGAGGGTCAATTTGCATATTATCTCTATTATATAAGATGCCTTTAATAATTCAGGTTTACTGAGGTTTTAGATTTGCTTAGTCACAGAAGTCTGTTTTCAGACTATTTCAACATTAGCTTATACTTCAGTGTTGTCAAGGTAAAGGATAGGACTTTACTAGTGCATCCTTTGATTGGTTGAATTTTTTTAGAAAATGGTGTGCTCTAGCATTGTAAAGTGACCTTTCTTCCTTGACTGCTTCACCTTGACCTCTGGCTGACTTTTTGTGTTCCTGAGATAGTGGATCTTGGCAATCTCTTATCCATTTCCATTGTGTATGCCCCTTTGTGTTGATTTGTTCTGTTCTTATAATAGTTCATCAAGATCAAGTAAAAGCCATGTTTATGTTCAGACTTTTTCCCCCCTAGTTAATAAGTTATTAAGTTATCTTTAATTTTCAAGATAAACATTTTTACTTGTTTTAAAGTTGTATTTCATTGTATAATTTGTAAAACCTTGAATGCATTTCTAAGGCTCTTTAATTCCAAGTTGTACATACTTGCAACAACTTAAATTGTGTCTCATTTAAAGATTCTTTCATCTTTTCAGAGTTCATAAAACTATGTCTATCTTGAATAAACTTCCACCAAAGGCAGTTATCATTTTATTTCAGGCTCTTGGTTTTCTCTACGCCTCTGGACTTGGTGTTAATTCAAGTCAGGCAAAGGTAATATTATTAAAACTTTAAATGACATTTTGAATTGAGTAAATAATGTGCCTATGTTCAATTAAGCATCTTTTGTTCATTCACAGGCTCTTGTATATTATACTTTTGGAGCTCTTGGGGGCAACCTAATAGCCCACATGATTTTGGTAAGTAAGACTTAAGTGGAAGAATACTAACAATGAGCAGCAGAAGAATTTTTGGTTAACGAATGACCATGACTTTTCTGACTTGCGTGATTCAGATTTACTTTTATTCACTAAGACCAAATACTCAATGGAATAGTCTTGTTAATGAATATAATAACTGAATCTACATGTGGATGAAAACAGAGTTCACAATTTTTTATGAAAATGACTAGTTTGGCTGATTGCTCTTAAATATCTGATAAATGGCTCTTTTTTATTTTTCGTAAGTTGGAACTGTCAAAGTCATTTTTTTAGATTGGTTGTCACAATGTTATATTGAAATTGGTGAATGACCTACTATGTAAAGAACCTATAAAGTTCTTTAAATCTATTCAGTGGTCCTTTAAAGTTCATTACAAAATATCTTTTATGTGCCATTTGATACCATTGATCCCTTAAATGGCTTAGTGATGAAATAGAGAATTTTTCCACTAAATTCTGTAGTGTATTAAATCTGCCTTGTACTTCATAAACGGACTTTGGCTAAGTCACATGACCTCTATCTCATATTACTATGTTTCAAATGAATATATAAATTCATTTTTACAAGAACATAAAGGACAGAGCAAGCAGAAATGAGACTGAAAGCGCGGGGGGTGGGGAGGACAGGAAAAAATATGGGAAAGAATTTACAGCTTAGTCATTGATGAGCTATAATACTTAAAAAAAGAAGGAAAATCTGTATCTCTGGCCAGCTGGGTGGTTCCTAACTAATTTTACTCATACGTTCCAAAAATATTCATTGAGTACGTGTTGTTGGGATGCCAAAGATGAGTAAGATACAGTTCAACAAGCTTTTAATCAAGAAAGGGAGGCACACGCCAAGACCGGTTTGGCTCAATGGATAGAGCGTCTGCTTGGGGACTGAAAGGTCCCGGGTTTGATTCCGGTCAAGGGCATGTACCTTGGTTGCGGGCACATCCCCAGTAGGGAGTGTGCAAGAGGCAGCTGGTTGATGTCTATCTCTCATCGATGTTTCTAACTCTCTCTCTCTCCCCCTTCCTCTCTGTACAAAATCAATAAAATATATTAAAATAAAATAAAAAATTTAAAAAAAAATTTTTAAAAAAGAAAGGGAGGCACAAATAAGGAGACTATTATAGCACAGCATGAGAATGTCAAGGAATCACCTAGAAGAGTGGTCGGCAAACCACGGCTCGCCAGCCACATGCGGCTCTTTGGCCACTTGAGTGTTCTAAACACCACTCGCCCAGGCCAAAAACCGACTTCTGTGCATGGGCCACAAAGTTTCAATCTCACTGTACATGTGCGCCCGCACGTGGTATTTTGTGAAGAGCCACACATAAAGGGCCAAAGAGCTGCGGTTTGCTGACCACTGACCTAGAAAGTGGCATTGGAAGGAGAGGGATTTAAGGAGGTATTTCTGAGGAAAGAAGCAGCTCACCCTGTTCTTGAAGGGTAAATTGTGGTGAGTGAATGTAAAAAGCAGAGGTATCCAGGCAGCGGGAGCAAGATAGTATGTAGAGGGACAGCACCAAGAGGGAATGTGGTATTTGCAAGAAAACACCAGCACTTGGGTGCGGCCAGAGAGTAGAATGCCTACCAGTAGTTCACAACTGGGCAGGTGAACAGGAATCACAGAAGCAGCTGTACGTCATGCCAAGGAGCATGGACTTCGTCCTGTTTACATGGACTCTGTCTTGTTTACAAGGGTAAACTGCTGAGGGAGTTTAAGTGAAAAATAAGGGTTTGTTCCAATTACTTACCAATCTTCAACAGCTATACAGAGTAAGAACATTAAATATTGTGCTATTATACAGTAATGCCCTAAGGATTGTTAGAGCTTGTAAAGTTATTTTGAGTCTGTACCAAATGACTCCAGAGAGCTGTACTTTCTGTTCCTTGCTCTTTATTATTAGCTTTCTTCCCCTTATTCTGAAGTCATTTATTGCTGGACTGCTTTTAAATAGTCCCTTGACTTCCCTATTTTTCTCATTTGTTGGTTCTTCTTTGCTAATTTGAAAGAGTAACCCTTTTTTAAAATTGTGTATAAAATAAGAATAAATCTGTTCCAAGCATGACCTTAAGTAATTTTCTCCTATAGATAAAATGCACATACTGCATAAAGTTCATTGCATCAATTCCGATTGCTCTAGAAAATTTATTTTTTATTTTCTAGTTCTTATTTATTTATAGTCTGCTTGTTGTAATGGCTAAATAAATTGCCTCATGACCTAAAGCTCAGGAAAAATAGGGTGATAGTGTCCTTAGACTGGAAGACAGCAGAATAGCATGCCGAGGATGGTTAGCAGTATTTGTTCTAATGGGATGCACTGAAGCACATAAACTGCCCGTCTTCTCACTGAGGCTGTGTTGCAGGGCTACCGCTACTGGGCTGGCATCGGGGTCCTCCAGAGTTGTGAATCCGCGCTGACTCATTACCGTCTTGTGGCCAACCATGGTATCTATGCTTTTGCCTTTCACCTTACAAAAAACAACAACAACACAAACACACCCATAAAACAACTAATTTTAAATTCATCTATTTTTATTGTACTACTTGAAATGTCATGAATGGCTCTTTTCAAGTAGAATTGTCTTTACCCTAGTTCAGGGGTGAGTAAAGATGATTTTTTTCCTGCCAGTGGCCATTTGGATATTTATAACATCATTCACAGGCCATACAAAATTAGGAACTTAAAAATTAGACTGCTATCTTTGGTCAAACTTTAATTAACTCACCCTTCATGCCCTGGCAGGGCCAGATCAAATGATTTTAGACCCGTAGACTAGACATTCCCCACCCCTACCCTAGTTGATTAATAAGTACTTGCCTTTTTTAAAATTTTGCTATGGATTCCACTTCTTCAGTATTTTGTAGAAAAAACTAAATTTACTTTAGATTGCTGTTTTATATCTACAGAATACTATAGGAACAGTTTCCTGTAACATAATATCTGTCAACATTTGGCAACTCGAATTGTACTTTTCTCTGTGGGACACTCCTAACTTTCATCCATGACATTCCTTTGTCCCCCTGTTTCAGTTGCTAGTGATATCTCGCTGACGGGAGGCTCAGTAGTGCAGAGAATACGGCTGCCAGATGAGGTGGAAAATCCAGGAATGAACAGTGGGATGCTAGAAGAAGATTTGATTCAGTATTACCAGTTCCTAGCTGAAAAGGGTGATGTTCAAGCACAGGTATGTGTTTCAACTTCTCTTGTACTGTCTTAATGCATTGTGTATTACAGTCTCTGGGGCAAGCATTTATATCTATAAGTAACAATTGCTCTTAGCAGTTATTAGCTACGTTATTATTAGCTATACACTCTCAAGATATATCATTGTTTTTTAAAAAACTTATTGATTTTTTTACAGAGAAGAAGAGAGAGAGAGAGAGTTAGAAACATCAATGAGAGAGAAACATCGATCAGCTGCCTCCTGCACACCCCCCTCTGGAAATGTGCCCGCAACCAAGGACATGCCCTTGACCGGAATCGAACCTGGGACCTTTCAGTCCATAGGCTGACGCTCTATCCACTGAGCCAAACCGGTTTCGGCAAGACATACCATTTGGATTCATCTGGGATGTGGACTAGGCATTCATGGTTCCTAAAAGCTGGCAGGGTGACTCTGCTGAGCACCACAGTCGAAAACTGCTTGAGTGGAGCAGCATTACAATGATGATGAAGGCTCATGGAGTCACCAAGGACAAAACCTGCCACTTTCTCCAGAAACAAAAAGGCTCAGGGCCATGTGGGATTTCAGATGCTCTTCAGAACCGCTCATGTTTCCTTTGCTCATCTTCGATCATAATTCTCTCAGATTAATATTCTTGAGTATTTCCTTTAGAGTAGATTCATTGGTGGCAAATTCAGTATGGGATTAAAAGCAGATATTTTTAGTTTTTAGTAAAGTAGCGTAAAATCTTAAGGCGGTAAGGCAAAATCTTTCAATTTTTGTAATAGAAACCTTTTTATGACCAGGTGTTTTCTTGTTGATTTAACAGTAATCACACTCCAGATGCTACCCTTGACTTTTCCTCTTTTTTTTTTTTTTTTAATCATTTTCAGGTTGGTCTGGGACAACTGCATCTGCACGGAGGCCGTGGAGTAGAACAGAATCATCAGGTAACTTTTCTGTTCCTGGGGTTTTGCACTTTCTGTTGTAGCAAGAAATAATTCTCCACATGTGTTTCTGGCTAAGTCAATGACAATCTCAAGTTTGTGTTATTAAGACAGCCATCACAAATGAACCTTTGAGATTTAACTAACCTCTGAGGAAGCTGAAAAATAAAAATGTGATTATACCTCAGAGGAGTGGGAAATGTTTTACCAGTTCTAAAGTCTAGTTCTTAATACTGCCAAGAATACATAAGCAATGTCTATTTTTCTATAGGTATGTGATTGAAGTATGTCTTAAAACTCCCGTTAGAAAACATTTTATAGAACTAAGGAAAATTCATTGTTGAGTTTATGAGAAATTAGGAGTACACATGGTAACAGATCTATATCCAGTAATCAACTTTTGTCTGCTTTATATCCTAAATGTCACCATATTTTCCCTTTTCTTCCATCAGTATACCTGTCACTTGTGTGAATTATCTACTGCTTGAATTTCCTGACCAGTAGCCTGTCTTTGTGAATCAGACATCTGATCATATGACTCCCTTGAGTGGTCCACAGTTTCTAGTAGCTTAAAGACCAGAATCTTTAACATGGCCCTTTAGGCCCCATTTCCATCTCGGTTTACCTCACCAGCCCCTTGCTTTCTCAGTCACAAGCACAAGGACCTTTTCTCTGGTTTTTGAAAATATCAAGAACCTCTCTGTCCCAGGGCTTCTGGAATGCTAGCCTATTTGAGTAAATATTACCCCACCCCTTTCTTCATTTATCTAATTCCTTGTCATCCTGTCAACTTTAAGAATTAGATGTATCGCCAGGACCGGTTTGGCTCAATGGATAGAGCGTCGGTTTGGGGACCGAAGGGTCCCAAGTTCGATTCCGGTCAAGGGCATGTACCTTGGTTGCGGGCACATCTCCAGTAGGGGGTGTGCAAGAGGCAGCTGATCGATGACTCTCTCTCATCGATGTTTCTAACTATCTCTCTCCCTTCCTCTCTGTACAAAATCAATAAAATATATTTTTAAAAAATATTAAAAAAAAAAAAAAGAATTAGATGTATCAACACAACTATGCCAAATATCTGCTTTTAAAAATTTGGATGGCATTTTTACAACTCTTATTGTCTTTTTTTTATTTTTTATTTTGGTGTCACATAATTGTCCTCATCCCCCCATTCCCATCCCAAACCCCTCCCCATGTATGCCCATCCCCTGTTGTCCATGACCACTGGTTAGGCTTATATGCATGCACACAAGTCCTTTGGTTGATCTCTCTCCGTTACCTTCCCGCTACCTATCAGACTGAGTTTTGACAGTCTGATCGCTGCTTCTCTTGTCTCTAAGTCTGTTTCTGTTCATCAATTTATGTTGTTCATTATTTCCCCTTGATGTGTTAGATCATGTGATACAAGGAATTCGCTTATATGACTGAAACTGAGACAAGCCATAATGGTTATGCTGAGAGGCAAATGAATCAGTCTGTAGTGAGTTCCTTTCTGGGCCAACAGTTCTTTTGAGTTCCAATTTCAATGTCAAATAGTTCCTTTTGTATACATGTCAGCCATGGTATTTCAGATCTGGTTGGTTGACAAATGGTGTTGATTCAGGTCCAACCGTCTCTGGTTTGGTCCTGGGCATCCTTTAGCAACACACAGCTCCTGTTTGCTAGTATGGCAAGGCGTTATCAGTGTCTTCCATCTCTGGACTGATTCTCTTCTGTCTTCATGGCTGGGGCACTCCTGTTAGTTCCTCTCCGTTGCAGGAATCCACATGGTCTCAGGGTTGTTTTCGAAAATATACAAACATATTCTGGACCAAAATTTAATAAAGAGATATTTTCTATAAATATGACTTGGGATCCCTTTTTTTCCCCCCAAATGATTTTCTTCTGGTTGTTTTGACACCATGTATGTTTTTCATCGGTATAGCTGCGGAATAGTGTGTCTTTGGAGGTGGAGATCCCAGTGTCCACAGGTCTGCAGCTATGCTAGCAGGATATTGGCTAGAGTGTGTGCTGGATCGCGGGGCAATTCCAAGGCCTGTCTTGTTGGTGGTGGTGATGAGTTTCTAAAAAAGGCCGCTCAAGATGGCGTGGGCTCCTGGCGTGGGCTCCGTGCTGGAGTCCCGCCGTCCAGGGAGTGCCCTCAGCGGTGGTAGTCTCTCATTGTCAAGGGGAGGCTGTTATCCAGGTCCTGCTGCTCCTGCAAGATTTAACTTTCCCTCACTCATACACACCCCACACACACTCCTTTCACGCCCTCACTCAGTTCCTCTCTCTCAGCTTCGTCCTGCTAATAGCCATCTTTTTTTTCCCCCCGCCTCCACAAGTCTCTTACTGTCTTTAGGCGGAAACTGGTTTGGCTCAGTGGATAGAGCGTTGGCCTGCGGACTAAAAGGTCCCAGGTTCGTTTCTGGTCAAGGGCATATACCTTGGCTGGGGGGGGCGGGGGGGGGCACATCCCCAGTAGGGGGTGTGCAAGAGGCAGCTGATTGATGATTCTCCCTCATCAATGTTTCTAACTCTCTATCCCTCTTTCTCCTCTCTGTAAAAAAAAAAAAATCAATAAAAAAAATTATATATATATAACGAAAATGTATGTCATAAGGCCAGTGCAGCATCAAATAAAAATAAAATCTTAATGAAAACGTCAGTTGAGAGGACAGAATTCTGGATAAGTTTGCTGTATACCTTTTGCACAACAAATTTTGAAGTATTTTGGGGGGTGTATGCCACTTACCTGTGAAGCAGCTGCACAAATAAATTATTTTACAGACTGTGAAGAGGGAAGAAAAGGTTTTCCCAGTACATGTTAATTCAACAAATATTTGCATGCCTACTATATGCCATTCACTGCTAGGCATTTCAGATACAATGCTGGACAGAATAATCAATCCTTAAGTCCTTACAGAGTTTCAACTTTAATAGAATTTCATACTTTTTATTTATTTATTTATTTATTTTGCACTTGCTACTTTTTAAATGACCATAGAAAAAATATGTAATAAATTGTGGTTGTTATTACTAAGGAAAATGAAAGCGTCCAAAAACAGATTACTGAATGAGAGCTGGCAGTTCTCTCTGAAGAGTGATGGGTGACATTTAAGTTGAGCCTGGAGGTAAAATTCTTCCTGGCCAGAAAGAACAGTATGTGCATAAGACCCAAGGCAGGAAGGACAAGGCTGGTATGCCCAGAGTGCAGAGAGCAAGAGGGAGCAGTACTGAGATAAGCAGGGCCTAATCATGACAGTGTATTTTTCAGGACTGTATGGGGCTCTAAGGACCAACATGAAGAGATTTTAAGAACAGTCACTTTGGATAACCCAGAGAGGTCAGGGAGTATTTTAGAAGTCAGGTGAGAGATAATGTAGCTTTGACTAGAATTGTGGTAATGGAGGGTAGAAGAGGGATGGATTCAGGATGGATTTGATGGTAAAAGGACTTAGTGGTAAATTGGATATGAAGTGAGTGGGTACCTTGGAGCAACCAAGAGGTGTCATGTTGCCATTTACTTAAACTGAGATTCTGCCATGCAACAAAATTTTTTAACTGTTCCTGAAATAACTATTTTGGTTAAAAGCCAAGGGCAGATTCTATTAAAAACTATTTTAATAAATTCTTTTCTCACAGAGAGCGTTTGACTACTTCAATTTAGCAGCGAATGCTGGCAATTCACATGCGATGGCCTTCTTGGGAAAGGTACTGTACATCCCATGAATGTATTGTGTAATAGCAAGAGGTGTTTGCAGAGTGATTACATACTGTATTCAAGATCTACAATTTACTCATAACAAACTGGAAATAAAATTTCTAGGGCAAAGTTACTGTGTCTTGTCCAAAGGCATTGCCAATCTGAAGCTGTTTCCTAGGTGAATTAAATAGAACAGCATTTACTCTTCAATATGTTAATTTTCCACTGAAATTAACCACTACTATCTGAGCTCCTACTTTTCATATATCATCTATAATAATAATCTATAATAATAAAAACATTATATGCAAATTGACCAAAGGCCAACCGTTCGGACGTCCTTCTGGACGACCTTCCAGATGAAGCTGGGGCTGCAAGGCCGAGGCAGACGCTGGGGCTCTGAGGGCTGGGGCAGTCGGGTCTACTCTTGCACGAATTTTGTGATAGGGCCTCTAATACATAAAGATGAGGAATCGATGCTGTGCAGGATTTTATTAGTCTATCATAATTACCTGTTAACTTCTATGCTAAATAGAGGCACTTAGATTTGGTTGGAATTTGTCTGCAGACCTTTTCATTGACTTAAATGAGACAGCCATTACCCACCTGTCAGTGCAGTCCTTTTCTCAAGAGGATATTTAAGTCTAGAGATTTAATGAGTAGATTTCATATGCCATGACATAATCTCTTAACTTCCTTTTTCATTATTTTGAAAGCTATTCTAGTGTAAACTAATCAGTATTTTCATCTATAACCAAATCCTAATGTTAGAAGGCTCAGATAGAATATATCACAAAGGTTTTTCCAAATAAAAAAATCAAATCAGTATTTGCCACAGGATCACAGTTAGTTAATTGGGGCCTAAGAACTTTACATTTAGATTTTAGACAATAGTGGTGTTCCTCATGATTCTTGTTAAGCACTTAAGAACTTTTCACTTGAGCCAAAACCGGTTTGGCTCAGTGGTAGAGCGTCAGTCTGTGGACTGAAAGGTCCCAGGTTCGATTCCAGTCAAGAACATGTACATTGGCAGCTGGTCGATGTTTCTCTCTCATCGATGTTTCTAGCTCTCTATCCCTTTCCCTTCCTCTGTAAAAAATCAATAATTTTTTTTTTTAAATGCCAAAACCGGTTTGGCTCAGTGGATAGAGCGTCCGCCTGCAGACTGAAAGGTCCCAGTAGGTAGTGTGCAAGAGGCAGCTGATCGATGTTTCTCTCTCATCGATGTTTCTAACTCTATCCCTCTCTCTTCCTCTCTGTAAAAAATCAATAAAATATATTTTTTTTAAAAAAGAATTTTTCACTTGAGCCCTTTTAATCTTTGTCTAATTACTAACTAATCCTATCTCAAAAATAATGTCTTTGTCGTTAATGTGTATGTGGATAAAAACAGTAGAGGTCATTCTGTTCTTTCTCTTTGTCCCTTATCATGATCCCTGAGACTTTAATCATTTGTTGCTTGAGACCTTTCAAAATAACTATTTAGTTGTTCCTTTTTCTGAACTTTGACTACCTTTGCTCTTATCCTGGGCGAAGTAGTGGTAGAGGAGAAAGGAAAGGACATTGCTGATAGCCTTCCTTTCCTCGTTTAATCGCTGATCCCAGGCAATGTGTCAGCCCAGTTAACCGCCTGGGATAGATTGAGAAAATAGATTCCTCTGGGGGTTAAAGATTTCTTCTCCTGAGATTAACCTATAAGTTGATTTATATATTTATGTATTTATATGTTTACTAGAGGCCAGGTACACAAAATTTGTGCATGGGTAGGGTCCCTAGATCAGGGCTGTTCTGTGGCACAACCAATAGGGTGATCAGAGGCCCCCGTGGCACCCACCTTGGCTGGCCTAGGGCCTGTGGGGTGGGGTCAGTTTCTGCGTTGAGCGTCTGCCCCCTGATGGTCATTGTGTGTCATAGCAACCAGTTCCACGGGTCATTCTGCCCATTTGGTCAATTTGCATTTTAGGCTTTTATTATATAGGATATTAAGTTCATGGAAAGATGGTCATTAGGTAAATCATAAATTTGATATGACAGAGTGTATAATAATATAAAAATGTCTACTTTTCAAGTTTTGCTTTTAACTCTAAAATATCTTTTGGGGAATTCTAATTTTGTTAAAAGATTTCATGAGATCTAACAAAAACCAGAATGAGATGAGATAGGAGAACAGTGTAACTGGAGAGAGGATTATACCTCACAATAAAATTGGGATCTGTTTTCCAGATGTACTCAGAGGGAAGTGATATTGTGCCTCAGAGTAATGAGACAGCCCTTCACTACTTTAAGAAAGCTGCTGACATGGTAAGACCTTGTGACTCAGTGCACTCAAATGTGTATCACGTTACTATTATTTTAATAAATAAGTTTATTATATTAAAAGATGAATCATGATCGTCATGCCATAAATTAGTGAAAGCATTTATGTAAATATGGTTCATGTGAATGCATTGAATGGGGGAAAAAATTCTAAGTTTTTTAGGGGCCAGATTATGGTATATTAAGCCTCTCTCAAAATTTTACTGAGAAATGTCCTAACCAGGGAAATGTGATTTTAGTAATGGAATTGAAAGTTACATAATTTTCCTTATCTGTTTTGCAACTTGAAGTTTAAAACTTACACAATTGGATAATTTTGATAATAACAGTATATAATTCAGGCATTCTCTGGTGCAAAGAAAGCAACCTATGAATACTTAAGACCCTATATGCCTCCAGTGTGTACCATACACATATCTCTTTGCCAACTATCTGTTACTGTAGATCTAAGTGTCAGTTAAGCATTTTCCAAAGGAGTGCTGTGCCACTTTTAAAAAAAATATATTTTATTGATTTTTCACAGAAAGGAAGAGAGAGGGATAGAGAGTTAGAAACATCGATGAGAGAGAATCATCCATCAGCTGCCTCTTGCACACCCCTACTGGGGATGTGCCCGCAACCAAGATACATGCCCTTGACCAGAATCGAACCCAGGACCTTTCAATTCGCAGTCCGACGCTCTATCCATTGAGCCAAACCGGTCCCAGCTGTGCCACTTTTTGAAGATGCTTTTATCCCTCTAAGTTTAGGTAAATTCTAGGTTTTTCTTTTTAAAGTTTCAAAACAATGATTACCTTTGGTTTTCGACACTCCAATAAACTTAAGCATTTATTTGCCGCCTAATCTCCCATATTGCTGTTATTACATGGTTGTTGACTCTACCCCATGGAGTCTTCCTTCTTGTTTGAGGAATAATGTTACTAATTAAAACTACCCAAAAAAGTGACCTGTTTTTAGTCTTTAAAAGATGAAATATGGCCAAAACCGGTTTGGCTCAGTGGATAGAGTGTTGGTCTGCAGACTGAAGGGTCCCAGGTTCGATTCCGGTCAAGGGCGGGCACAACTCCGGTAAACAGTGTGCAGGAGGCAGCTGGTTGATGTTTCTCTTTCATCAATGTTTCTAGCTCTCTATTCTCCTTTCCTCTCTGTTGAAAATCAATAAAATATATTTTTTTTAAAAGATGGAATATGTTAGTTATGTTTTATATCATAAAATCATGGAACAGATGGTCATAAGATAACTCATGAAAATTTAATTCTAAATGAATTTACTATTTACTCTTTTTCAGAAAAATTTTTAAAAACCCCAAATACCTAAAAGGCAATATTATGTTTAGCTTGATGGGAAGGAGAAAATTTTGTTTTGAATTGAAAAGTGCTAAAACGGGTTTGGAACATGCTTGTAAATTGTTTATTTTGCAGGCATTTAGTCTTGCCTACTTTGTAATTAATTCTTTCACTCTTTTGTCTCTGGTTTGCAGGGCAACCCAGTTGGACAGAGTGGGCTTGGAATGGCTTACCTCTACGGGAGAGGAGTTCAAGTTGTAAGTTTCCCATCTAACATTCTAACAAGGAGTTAGTTGGAGAGGTAGGGAAGTATTCCTTAACTAGCTCCCAGCCAGCCCTGGCAGGCCATTTCATTATAACCAAACCTAAACTGTTTCCTGCTGTCCTTTACCATCCTTCACCCTGTACGTGCTGTACCAACTGCCTTGTTAGAATGGCTCTGACTCTGGCACCTTCTCCTGAAGACGTGAGGCTGTTTCTCATCCTCCCACCAATGCTCTCTGCTCTGTCTACTCTTCCATCTCATCTAGACTTGTACTTCTTCACTCAAACCGAAGAAAATGCTCAGGTCTCTCCCATTTAGAGGGCTTGGACTCCCATTCTGTTCTACCCTTTGCCCTCTAGCCACTACCTCTTTTCTCTGCAGCCCTTCGCTGCACTGCCAAGGTTTTCAAAAAAATGAACTATATGAGCTGCTACCACTCACTCATTAGCTCAGAAAAGTTGGGTTCTGACTCATAAAACTGCTTAATATGAGTCACCCAGAAACCTCCTGAATGTCAACTCCAGCTGACATTTTTTGGTTGTATATTATGAGCTCTTTCTTCCCTGGAGTTCTGTGCCTGCAAGGCTTCTTGGTTTTCCTGAGCCATTGTTCTCATTCTTCTGTGCTACTTCCTGTGGTGGGATGCCCTGAAGTCTCCTTGCTATCCCCTTTTTCTGTAGGATATCTCTAAGGAATCTGTTCTTTTTATTTGGGCCTGAAACTAATAGCTAGGTTTGGGATTCTAATCTGTAGGCATTCCCTAGCATAAGAAACAGTAATGTGGTGTCATTTTTATTCCTTTAGTCATTTTAGGAAACTGAAGTTCCATAGTGCTCTTTGTTTCAATTTATCTCTGTGGATACATGTTATTTGAAATTTAATGATCGCATAGTGTTCACTATGAACACAGGGAAAGAATGAATAAGAAGAGGATAATTACCCTTATTTAATATTGGAAGAATTGAAGTTTTAAAAAGGATTGGTTGGTTAACAGAAAAGATACAACTGTTTCTTAAATCCTTGTCCTTGTGTTTCACTGCTGGTATTTATGCTTTCCAAGAGCCAACATGCAAATTGTCTCACAAAAACTTGATTTGCTTTTCTTCAACATCTTAAATATAATTTCCCTGTGACTTCAAGTCTATTATTATCTGTTATTAAAAATTGGAAGGTGCCGAAACTGGTTTGGCTCAGTGGATAGAGCGTCCGCCTGCAGACTGAAAGGTCCCAGATTCTATTTCAGTCAAGGGCATGTACCTTGGTTGCGGGCATTTCCCCCGTAGGGGGTGTGCAGGAGGCAGCTAGTTGATGGTTCTCTCTCATCGATGTTTCTAACTCTATCCCTCTCTCTTCCTCTCTGTAAAAAATCAATAAAATAAAAAAAAATTGGAAGGTATTTCTTTTAATGGCTCTTCGAGACTATTTTGTGTGCTTTATTAATTATTTTTAATAAATTAATCTCACTTTTGAGTATGTTAGCCTTTTGAGCTTTCTCATCATGTGATTGTGTGATGAGATGATTTTTTTTTACAGAATTATGATCTGGCACTGAAGTATTTCCAGAAAGCTGCTGAGCAAGGCTGGGTGGATGGGCAGCTGCAGCTTGGCTCCATGTACTATAGTAAGTAACGGTGGGATTAATAATGAACACACCAAGATATAAAGTACCTTTTTCCACTAGATGTCACTTATGTTATGGAAATGAGAGTGCTGAATACTGGCTGATTCATGTTCTCCCAATTCAATGATTTGTGCATCTTGCTTTTTATTGGAAATTCTGTTAATATATATTAATGTATTGATCTGTATTAATAGGATTTACATTTTTCCCTAGTAACCATTCTGAATTTTATTTTGTTTTTACTCCTTTCCTTCTCTGATGGTTCAGCTGAATCTTACTTGAGACTGTTCCTGACCTTTCATGTGATTTTCCTTACAGATGGCATTGGAGTCAAGAGGGATTATAAACAGGCCTTGAAGTATTTTAACTTAGCTTCTCAGGGAGGCCACATCTTGGCTTTCTATAACCTCGCACAGATGCACGCCAGCGGCACAGGTGTGATGCGATCCTGCCACAATGCAGTGGAGGTGAGGGCTCTTCTACCAACTTCTGTAAGGAAATTAATTTTCTCAGTCGGAAAGTCTACTGTTGTTGTTTTTTTGTTTGTTTAATATATTTTTATTGATCTCAGAGAGGAAGGAAGTGGGAGAGAGAGAGAGAAATATCAATGATGAGAGGAATCACTGATCGGCTGCCTCCTGCACGCCCTACACAGGGGATTGAGCTCACAACCCGGGCATGACCAGGAATCAAACAGTGTCCCCCTGGTTTATAGGTTGACGGTCAACCACTGAGCCACGCCGGCCGGACAGAAAGTCTACTGTTTTAATTGTTGTTTTCTTGTGTGATTTCTTCTAGAGTTGAAACAGATTCAGCCTGCTGGTTTATTAAGGGAAGACTGGGTCTGTGTGGGGCCATGACACTTATTTCATTTACCCTCCCTATTAGAATCAGTGTTAATAAGGGGAGATACTATGTCTGCTGTCTCTTAACACCTAAGACAGTATCTGAGACATAGTGTCGAAAAAGCGGATGCTAGGATGCTAAATAAATGTTACAAAAGGGGGTGCTAATATCTCCTAATTGGCACTTCCAGGTGCTTACAAAGTTTCTAAAGCTTCCTCTGATCCAGTTTCCTTGCTTGTAAAATGTAGCTTTTAATAGGGCTCACCTTAAAGAGTGGACTCAGTGGGAGGGGTAAGTGAGTTAATATACATGTTATACATAAATCACTATCGTGTTTCCCCGAAAATAAGACATCCTCCGAAAATAAAACCTAGCGCATGGAAAGATAAGACATCCCCTGAAAATAAGACTTAGCGCAACTTTGGGAGAAAAAATTAATATAAGACACTGTCTTATTTTCGGGGAAACAGGGTAGAACAGTGTCTGACCAGTGTCAGTGGTATATAATTGTTTGCTATTATTTGTATAACTATTCTAAAGATTAAGTGAAAGCTTCAAATATATACCCCAGACTTTTAAGTATATTCAGTAAAATTACCGGACATTGAAAGAGCGAGCTTAACACTCACATGGCTAATGTGAAAAATGATTTTCTAGCGTATCTTTCTTATTCTTTTGTTCATTTTTTTTTTTTCTTTCCTGTTCTCACAGTTGTTTAAGAATGTGTGTGAACGGGGCCGCTGGTCCGAGAGGCTTATGACTGCCTATAACAGCTATAAAGACGGTGACTACAATGCTGCCGTGATCCAGTACCTCCTGCTGGCCGAACAGGGCTACGAAGTGGCACAGAGCAACGCCGCCTTCATCCTCGACCAGAGTAAGGTTCATCGGAGTGCTGCCTCGGGTTCCCAGTGCAAGGACTCACATCAGGTTACCTGTCTAAAAGGAAAAGCCAGAAAGAACGTTCTTTGTTGCTGTAAATAGAACTCGTCCCTCTCGTATAAGTTATTTTACTTCAAATCTCTCAGACATCCAACTTAGTTTTATAGAGTTGACAGTAGAAATAGATTTGACATTCATCATAAAATTGGCTGCTGCTTTCAGCAAATACATTTTTACAATATAGCAGATACAAAATATTGTTTTTCCAGCTTATGTGGATCCCCAGAGTGGGCTGGAGTACTCATTCTCATTGGTTCTGTGGATAAAACATGTTTCAGGACGTAACGTTGTCCTAAATGCAGTGATTCCTTGGAACTCAGTATTTTATTCTAGTACTTGTTTAATTTTAATACAATGTATTTTCCATTTATTATTTGTTATATTCCAATTCTTATTTCAGTTAGGCTCCACATACTCATTCTAGCTTGAAAATGAAGCCTAAAAGTCTAGAGCCTTTTCCTAAATGCCTGGTTTGTGTTACCTCTCTCCCTGCAGGAGAAGCCACCATTGTAGGTGAGAACGAAACCTACCCCAGAGCTTTGCTGCACTGGAACAGGGCTGCCTCGCAAGGTGAGTGGTTGGTTCATCCTAAAGGATAGAAGTTTCACCCAGAAACCTCTCTTTATTTTGTTTTTTGTAGGGGGTGTTTTTTTAAAGCTCCCATAAAAATTAAAACCTGTCATTTATCACCTTAAAATTAAGTAGAGATACTATTGGTTAACTTGTTAGCTTCGTGATTGGTATTTCTTTTTAAAATGGAAATTCTAGTCCCAGGGCTTCTAAACTGAATTGTAAGTTGTTTTTACAAGACATTTAAGTCATGCTATGGTTTTCTCTCTAGTTTTTAGTTTGAACCCCATATATTGTGTAAATGAAAATTGAATAGAATATACAATAGAATATTAGTACAAACCCCAAAAGGTTTAAACCTTTCTCCAATTTTTCATTTGACTGTTTCTCTCACAAACTACTCTCCATATTGTGTGCCTATCATCCCTTCTTTAAGCATAAACGAGGGTCCAGTTAAACGATTTTAAAATGTAAATGACATCATAGACTAGAGCATGATCTTTTAAAGAATATTATTGGAGCCTACCTGGTTTGGCTCAGTGGATAGAGCGTTGGCCTGTGGACTGAAAGGTCCTGGGTTCGATTCAGGTCAAGGGCACATGCCTGGGTTGTAGGCTCAATCCCCAGTGGGAAGCATGCAGGAGGCAGCGATCAATGATTCTTTCTCATCATTTATGTTTCTCTCTCTCTCCTCCCTTCCTCTCTGAATAAAAATATATTCTTTTTAAAAATACTTAAAAATAATAATAATAATAATAATAATAATAGCCCTAGCTGGTTTGGCCAGTGGATAGAGAACATCAGCCTGTGGACTGAAGGGTCCCAAGTTTGATTCTGTTCAAGGGCACATGCCCAGGTTGTGGGCGCAGTCCCCACTAGGGGGTGTGCAGGAGGCAGGCCCATCAATGATTCTCATCATTGATGTTTCTATCTCTCCCTTTCCCTTCCTTTCTGAAATCAATAAAAATAAATATTTTTTTAAAAAGAATATTATTGGAGACATGGTGCCCACCTACCTTATTCTACCTCTCCTTGACTTACAAAGCCCTCTTCAGAAGAGTAGTTCTAATTTAAATTTTTACTGAATTTATAGCTTAGCTAAAGGGTTGGTGGTAAAATTTGTGTACTACAAATTAAAATGTTGTTTTATATAATCACGTTAACAGGAAGAGAAATAACAGTGTGGTCTGTTTTAAACACTTTATTTATTGGCAATTTTGCATTTAACTTTTGTTTAAGGCTATACTGTGGCTAGAATTAAGCTTGGAGACTACCATTTCTATGGATTTGGCACCGATGTGGATTACGAGACTGCGTTTATTCATTATCGTCTAGCATCTGAGCAACAACACAGCGCACAGGCTATGTTTAATCTGGGATATATGCATGAGAAAGGACTAGGCATTAAACAGGTGAGCAGCGCATCAAATTAATGTTTGAATAATACAAACTGTGATTTGGGGGAAACATCTGTATTTTTATAGAAAGTAGGCTTTCTTTGGAATGTGCTCAGATTTTAGATACTAAATTGTGAGGCAGTTTTGAATATTTCACAAAATTGCCCACCCCCCCATCTCTCTCATCTTCCAGCATGCACACATATTGATATCTACACTCTTATATTTAGAATATTAAGCCAAAAACAGATTCATGAAAACAGAAAAGTAGTGCAGCTTCTTCTGATAACTCCTCATTTGAGAAACTATCCAACCATAACCAGACTAATTCTATTGCTTCTAAATTATTTTGAAATGAATTAAGATGATTGCAATTGATAAATTTATTCCTGATTCTTTTTTCAATTAAAAAAATGCTTTATTAATTACCATTACATTCAATATTATTTTATACTACAGGCCTGGTGCACAAACGTGCACCAATGGGGTCCCTCGGCCTGGCCTGAGGGATTGGGCTCTCTTGACATCCCCTGAGGGGATTCTGTATTACTAGAGGCCACAGGCCAAGCTGAGGGCCCCACTAGAACATGATCAGGGCCGGAGAGGGACTGAGAGAGGGCTCCAGGGTGTGTCTGGCCCATCTTGCTCAGTCCCCATTGGCCAGACCCCAGCAGCAGGGTGTCTGCCCACTGGTGGTCATTGCATGTCATAGTGAGCGATTGAGCAGCCTTAGCCTATCATTAGTATATTATGCTTTGATTGGTTGAATGGATGATTAGATGACTGGACACTTAGTATATTAAGCTTTTATTATATAGGACTAGTGGCCCAGTTCACGAAATTCATGCATGGGGGTGGTTTCCCTCAGCTCAGCCTGCACCCTCTCCAATCAGGGACCCCATAGGGGATGTCCGACTGCCGGTTTGGGCACGATCTGGCAGTCAGACATCCCTCTCCCAATCTGGGACCACTAGCTCCTAATTGCTCACCTGCCTGCCTGCCTGATCACCCCTAATTGCTCTGCCTGCCTGATCACCCCTAACTGCCCCCTCCTGTAGGCCTGATCTCACCCCCAACTGTCCTCCCCTGCTGGCCTGATCTCACCCCCAACTGCCCTCTCTGCCTCAGTCCCCACCACCATGGCTTTGTCAGGAAGGAAGTCGAATGTTAGAAGATGGCTGGTCAGCCCAGCTTAATTAGCATATTACCCTTTTAGTAGTATAGATAGATTATATAGGATAGGATTGCTTAAATGAGTGGGGAAAGCCTTTTTCAGCAGGAAGAGATCTCTTGGCAGACAAAAATACATAATCCTTATATCTGGACTGATAGACAGCCATATGCACTATACTGCTAAACCGGTCATTAAAAAAATTGAACTGCTTTCTTACACCTTACACCAAATAGCGGTTGCCCTTAAAACCCTCCTCACCCCCACCTTAGGTTCTGCCTTCGAAATTCACCCAGATTAGGTTCTGATTGGTCAGTTTTTATGCCTGTCGGTCAAAAGCTCTACCTCCTCCACAGCCACTGTTTCCTCGCACTTCACCCAGATTTGGTTCTGATTTGTCGGTTTTAATGCCAGTCAGCCTCAAAAGCTCTGCCTCCTAAGCAGCCATTGGCTCCTCACAGTTCTTCCAGATTTGGTTCTGATTGGTTGGTTTCTATGCCATTCAGTGTCTCTGGGCCTATCTCTGGGCCTGATCAGAGAAGTGGGGCTGATCAACAGCTGCCGCGGAGGCTATGGATCAGACCCTGCTTCTCCAGGTTTCTCTCTGGGCCTGATCCACAGCCCCCTGGGCAGTCAGTGCTGGGTCGCACTGTGCTCACAGTAGGACTGCAGGACTGACTTCTGGTTGGTCAAGCCTTTGGTCATTACAGATCCTGGGTTTTTATATATTAGGATTAGTTTCCATTGTACCACAGTGAGTCCTCCACTCCCTTCCCCTTATTTCTGATTCTTAAGCCTTCCTAGTGAAGTCTAACAAGTCTTTAGACCCATGGTCTTAAGTTTTGCCCACGTACCCTTAAAATTTTTTTAAAATATATTTTATTGATTTTGTACAGAGAGGAAGGGAGAGAGATAGTTAGAAACATCGATGAGAGAGAGTAATCGATCAGCTGCCTCTTGCACACCCCCTACTGGGGATATGCCCGCAACTGGATGCCCTTGACCGGAATCGAACCCGGGACACTTCAGTCCCCAAGCCGACGCTCTATCCATTGAGCCAAACCGGTTTCGACTACCCTTATAATTTTTGAAAAATTAATAGATATCATCTTGTGCATTTTTAAGTTGACATTTAAAATTTTACATCATAGGCCAAAACTGGTTTGGCTCAGTGGATAGAACATCGGCCTGCAGACTTAAAGGTCCCAGGTTTGATTCCAGTCAAGGGCATGTACCTTGGTTGTAGGTACATTCCTGGTTAGGGATGTGCAGGAAGCAGCTGGTCAGTGTTTCTCTCTCATTGATGTTTCTAGCTCTCTATCCTTCTCCCTTCCTCTCTGTAAAAAATCAATAAAATATATTTTTAAAAAAATTTTTTTTTTACATCATAGTCCAGCCAGTATGGTTCAGTGGTTGAGCGCAGACCTGTGACCCAGGAAGTCAGGCTTCAGTTCCCAGTCAGGGCACATACCAGGTTGCTGGCTCACTTTCCAGTGGGGGTGTGTAGGAGGCATCTATTTGATGATTTCTTTCTCATCATGATGTTTCTGTCTCCCTTTCCCTTCCTCTCTGAAATTAAATAAATAAAAATTTTCAACATAAGTTTCAAAGGGTCTAAGTTCTAGCTATTTTTAAAAAGATCATTTTTTAAAAAATATATTTTATTGATTTTGTACAGAGAGGAAGGGAGAGGGATACAGAGTCAGAAACATCAATGAGAGAGAGTCATCGATCAGCTGCCTCTTGCACACCCCCTACTGGGGATATGCCCGCAACCAAGGTACATGCCCTTGACCAGAATGGAACCCAAGACCCTTCAGTCCCCAAGCCGACGCTCTATCCATTGAGTCAAACCGGTTTTGACTAAAAAGATCATTTTTAATATAATGTTTAAATTACTCTAAATAATTTGACATGCCCATTATTAATTTTTAAAAAATATATAGTAAATTCTTTAATTGCATATTGCATCTTTTTCTTTTCTCCCTGAATTCATATTTTTAGTCCTGTATTCCCATTGAAATGCATACTAATTGTATGTTTGATGATTAATATAAAAATCACATGTAAGTTGTGACCTTTATAAAATACACCTAGGAATTAAGACTAAAGTCATATAACTCTGATATTACTTTTATAATAGGTTAGGAAACAAGAACCTAATCAGTGTGCTTTTCTCATCTCATTTAATATGTAATGTAATAGGATGTATAACTTATCTAAATTCTTACAGAAAAAAGGAATGTGATAAAAGGCATCAGAGTGATGAGAAGAAACTCTAGGATTCAACTTTTAAGAATAATTATATGTAAAAATAACAGTAAATCCATTCATTTTTATAAGACATCATAATGACCTTTTCCCATTTTGTTCTTATTTTTTAAATGAAAGAGACATTCCTACTACTAAAATTTAATTAGTATCTAGTTAACTAGAAAAATATTAAATATTAATAAGATAAGGATTGGTTATAATTGAAATAAATAATTCAGGATGTATTTGATAACTTCAATTTAATTACCCTATTTACTCAAACACATATAGTCTGTGTTATCACATAGTTTGATCCATGAACTTGAAAAATAAGGCAGTTCAAAAAAATGTTATATATATTTTTTTAAATCAAAAACATTAACCACACTATTACAGTTGTTTGAACGTGCCCTTCTTCTCAACTAGTGACACACCCAAGATACATATAGGGAATAGTTGAAAGCAATTGTTTATATTTAGATATGTGGGGGAAAGTAATCTTTAATGCTTAGCCTTTCTTTCCCATGTCTCATGGAATTTTTTCCTAGGCGGTTGATATCCTTTGACAGTAGTCAGGGTATGAAAGTAAGGTTGGTAAATGAAAATTTCACAACTCCCGCCATCCCATTCTACATATATCTGAATACTCCAACCTGTGCCAAAATTACCTGTGACTTGCTTTGCCCTTCACAGAAATCTGTCTAAGACAGGGAGACACAGGATGTGCCTTAACAGCGTCCCTGCCAATGTCCCTTGGGAAATCTTACCGTCTACTCCATTTTGAAGTTCACTGCTCCAAACTGCTACCTGGAGCTGGCTGAAGTTTTAAGTAGGACAGAATTAACTAGCAGCTCACAGGTTAGCCCTGGTAGTGTCCAGATTAACAGTGTAATGTGCAGCTGTAAGACGGTGCAGCATTTACCTCTGAAAGTCTACACCGCAAGTAGATGTCAGATTGGAGGGGAGCATGAATGAAGTCTTAAAATTTTTCAATTAAATTTTTTCCAAATTAAGCTGTTAGGTAAAGAACTATTATCCAATTACAATGTGGGTTCTTCTTTAGGTAAGGGAAATTTTAAAATGAAACTTGATAGATAAGATAAATTTTCCTAATGTATAAACTAAAAGACAATTATTTTTTAATTTAACAAGAAATGAATTTGGGTTTATCTTATAGGATATTCACCTTGCAAAGCGTTTTTATGACATGGCAGCCGAAGCCAGCCCAGATGCACAGGTACCAGTCTTCCTAGCGCTCTGCAAATTGGGCGTCGTCTATTTCTTGCAGTACATACGGGAAGCAAACGTAAGTGGTCCACGCCTTCCAGTTAAATACAGATGTTGTAACCTCAGCCCAGAGACTTGTGTTTTAAATGTTGGTGAAGAGGGGAGGAGTAGCCTGCGAAGCACCCACAGCCCTCATCTGGGGAGGGATGAACGTGGCCACAAAGCTGTTAATAGTTTTCAGGCAGCTTCACAAGTGGTTCCCTGTGCTAAAGCATTTTGCATTGATGCAGATGTTTCCTGATTCGGGGAAAACTGAAACTGACCCATGGCAATTTGAAGCAGTAGTTAACTAAATTCAGTAAACATTAAATCAGATGACTGTCTGCCTACAAGTGACTCAGACCTCCCTAAGAAAAAGAGAATTTAGAAAAGGAGGAAGAAGAAGTAGAACCTGAGAACCTGCCCAGGCTGTTGCACTTCAGACTCTTGTGGTAGAGAAACATGTTAAAACCACCACCAGAATTTGTTCTCTAAAAATACCTTGAACTATTTAAATAAGCTGAAGGTAGAGTCTAGATAGGAGATGGGTTAGCCATTCTCTTCCAAGCAGCCGACTTTAGTTAACAACACTTACGTGTTGCTCTTAAGTTCTCCAGTTTTGCATTTTGTTTCCAGTACCTAGAGTTCCTCATAATTGATTAACTAGTACAGCATTGGACTCTGAAAGTCTTCATATATATATATATATATATATATATATATATATATATGCAGAAACAAGGGCTATTGAACTTTAATTCATTCTGGGGACGGATGGTGTTGCCAATCTTTGGTTAACATCTTTCAGAACAGGTGGATACCTCATCTCAGCGATGGATGCCAGGATGGATTCCCTCCTGTTTTTCACAGATACTAATGTAGTCCATGGTGCTCCCGCATCCATAAAGAGAAGTTTGACTTACCCCTCAGGCAGCCCTAGCCCGTGCTACTGAGGGCCCCATGGATAGGGCTCCAGAGGACTGAGATGTTGAGCTCTGTCCTACCAATATCTTATGCATTTGTAATGGCAAATTTATAATTGCTTGGCAGCCTGGGCCAGGACTGTCCCCCCTGCTAATTGACAGATCTTTGTTCCTTCAGTTAAAAGCTAGTGTGCTATTTCTTTGCCAGGACTATTCCAGACCTTATCTCTAACAATTTTAAGACTAATAAACTATTGATTACAGTCTAGGATTTGATCATGCAATAAAATATATTCTTTCTTGCCAAAGCCGGTTTGACTCAGTGGTAGAGCATTGGTCTGCAGACTGAAAGGTCCCAGGTTCGATTCCGGTCAAGGGCATGTACATTGGTTCCGGGCACATCCCCGGTAAGGGGGTGTGCAAGAGGCAGCTGGTCGATGTTTCTCTCTCATCGACGTTTCTAGCTCTCTCCCTTCCTCTCTGTAAAAAAATCAATAGAAATATATTTTTAAAAAATAAATAAAAAATATATATATTCTTTCTTTTTAAGACAGAAATATAAAGACAATAAAATGCTCTGTAATCCTACCATGTAGATATTCTGCCTTAAAAAAAAAAAAAAAAAAAGTAATACCCTACTGGTGTGGCTCAGAGGTTGAGTGTCAACCTATTAACCAGGAGGTAATGGTTCGATTTCTGGTCAGGGCACATGTCCGGGTTGCAGGCGTGTACCCAGTAGGGGGCATGCAGAAGTCAGCCAATCAGTGATTCTCTCTCATCATTGATGTTTCTTTCTCTCCCTCTCCCTTCTTCTCTGAAATCAGTAAAAATACTTTTTTTAAAAGTAGTAAGTATTCATGGCAAGAAAGTTGAAATAGTAAGATAAACACAAAATCTCCCATCTCCATTTCCTCCTCAGGAAACACAGTTAATAGTTCTTGTAATCTTTTTTAAAAAATATGGTGCCTGTACTGGCAAATATATATTACTAGAGTCCCGGTGCACGAAATTTGTGCACAGGTAAGGGCTCTAGTCCTGGACAGTGATTAGGGGCCTATTGGGGCCTTTTTGCTGCCGGTTGGGGCCTTCCTTCATTCCGCACTGCCCCCTGGTGGTCAGCGCACGCCATGGTGAGCAGTCGAACTCCTGAGGGGACACTTTGCATATTAACCTTTTATATAGAGAGAGGGAGACCTTTAAAATGTGATGTTATTTAAACACAAGGATTATATCCATCTCACTTTTTTGTGAATAAATGGCAGTCAGAAAATAAGAGGAATCACTTAAGTGACAGAGGACAATTAAAATATCATAGACTAGCACAGCCAGTGTGGTTCAGCAGTCAAACATGGAGGCCATGGTTCGATTCCAGTCAGGGCACATGCCTGGGTTACGGGCTTGATCCCCAGTAGGGGGCATGCAGGAGCACTGATTGATGCTGTTTCTCTCATCAATGTTTCTATCTCTCTATCCCTCTTCCTTCCTCACTCGCTCTCTAAATATATATTTATATCCTGTATTTATCATAGACTAAAACCATGACTTTTAAGTTCAAATTCAGGTGTTATATATTTACTTAAATCCTGACCAGAAAGCACTACGCATTCCTCTATGAAACATTTGGGCTCCGCCATCTTCAGTTACCTAAGAGAAGTGATAACATATCCCCGGGTCACTAGAGCAGAGCTTCTTAGCCTCTGTGCCCTGACTGCATATGGGCTCCCGGTGCCCTGGGACTGACAGTTGTCCCGGACCCTCCCTCTCCCCCAGTGCCCATCTCAGATATTTTTCTGGGGGAAATTGTTGGGAATGAGTGCATTAGGTTGCTGATGGAAGGAAACCCTCCCAGATGCTTCACATAGTCAACTGTTAGGAAATAATAGCTGTTCCTGAGACACATTATTTTTTGAGTTTCAGTTTAAGGCTTTTTAAACCCTTTTTTTTTTAATAAAAACACTGAAAGATGTCCCTAAAACCAATTATTTTAATAAGTTCTGTATTTATCTCTAATTGGTGATGTTATGTTCCTGATTTCTTCTCTGACATGTTAGTGAACATGATGATTTTTCTATTCCCGTTAAGATTCGAGATGTATTTACCCAAGTTGATATGGACCAGCTTCTGGGACCTGAGTGGGACCTTTACCTCATGACCATCATCGCGTTGCTGCTGGGAACAGTCATAGCCTACAGGCAGAGGCAGCACCAAGACATGCCCGTCCCCAGGCCCCCCGGGCCACGGCCGGCACCACCCCAGCAGGAGGCTCCACCGGAGCAGCAGCCACCGCAGTAACAGCCTGGATCAGTGACAACCAAGGGAATCGTCTGCAGAGAACACCTGCGTTCGGTCTGGGACTCGGGCTCCGTGGCCACCTGCTGGAGGAGGCACAGGAAGCATTGAATTCCTAAAGCTGCTTAGAATCCGATGCCTTTATTTTCAGGGATAAGAAACTCTTACCTAAACTGAGTTGAATTTCAGTGCCGTTTGGAATAACAACTCTCAGTGGCTTTCCTTTTCTTGTTTGTTCTGGAAACACGTGAGACACTCAGCGTAATGTCTACTGTATCCAGCTCTCTTGGGTCCTTTTGGTCATCCTCTCAGTGCGCATAAGTTCTCCAATCAACCATCTTCACGGTCTTGTGCATCGACACTAAAAACTGATGTGCGAAAAGGAAAACCCAGTTACTCGCAAGTTGGACCATAACATGTTTGAAAGTCTGGAAGTAGAACTTGCCTTTAACGTTTTAAAAAAAAAAAAAAAAAAAAAAAAAGGTTTCAGAAACTTTTGCCAATCCACATGCAAGTACACGTATTCAGCACATTTGTTACTTTAAAAGGGAAGGAAGGGGGGTTTCTGACTGCTGCTGATGGTCATATTTTATACCACACTTCTCTCCTTCAGAGACTGAAAGGCCTTGTTGGCGTTGTGTGTGAACTTCCTTTCTTTGGAATGGAATATCTATGAAACCTTATGAACTGATTCCTTGAGCTAACACATGCATTTGCCCCACCTACTTAATGCAGTTTGCTTGTTTGAGCCTTGATCTGGAAGCCAGAGGATGGACTAAGTGGGAGAAATTAGAAAGCAATATTATAGAACCCTGCATGGGGTGCTAAGACCATAGAATAGACATCCTTCCCCAAAAGCTGACCCAGTAGTTCCCAGGACTGACTCAGTTTGCATTTCTATTGCAAAAGGAGCAGATCATCCTCCTGAATTCTCTTAAGTATGAAATATAATTGCAAAAGGTACGGCATATGGTGACTACCATTATAATACTAAGGCTGAGTGAGTCGGGATCTAGGATGCATGAAGCTCAGTGGGTGAGGACAGCCAAAGCCTGTTCAGACTGTTCAGGTGGATTTTTACTTTTGCAGTTTTATGTGACAGTAGAAAGCCACTTGCTCCGCTGTCCTATTCACCACCCTCCCACTGTGAACACTAGAAAAATAAGGCTATTCCACTTGAGAATTGTCTGATTAAACTGTATGGAAAACAACCGTGAAGAAAACTTGCGAACTTCACATATCTTGCAAATGAAAAAATTAAACAGAGTTTGTATTTCTTTCTATTGTCTGAGACTGCGTTTGCACCTGAGCAGGCTTTGTAGGCCTACTGACCTCAGTCTGTTTTCTTAACCTGTATACTCTCCACAGCCCCTCACCTGCCGGAAAACTTGAAGAGTTTGTTATTGTAGAGTTGTAAGACTGGTTCCTGAAGTGGGGGTTGTGTTTAGAACCAGATTGCGATAGCCAGTCATGAACATGAGGGCTTTAAATGTGAAGATGTATGCTTTTTTGCTTAGATTTTATGAGACACCTGATAAAGCAAACTCTCCTCCAAGATAATCACCTTCAAGTCTGAAGAGGGGATCACAGTGAGAACCCTGTGTCTGAAGGTGTATCTGAAAAGCAGAACGGTTACTCTCAAAAAGTACAATGCCACTCTGGGTAGCTCTTGTGAATATTATGTCTTACATTTGGTGATTTGAGAGCAGTGGGTAGAATTTGGGGGTGTCCTATCTGCCTCTGTCCCCACCCTTTAGAATCACTATCAGCCACACTTGGTTTCAAGTTTAACTTCCTCTTTTTCCCCTCTACTACCCACCTACTTTTTCCTTTAGCAGCATTTCCTCCCCCCCCCCCTTCTCTCTCTCTCTCTCTCTCTCTCTCTCTCTCTCTCTCTCTCTCTCTCTCTCTCTCTCTCTCTCTCTCTCTCTCCCTCCTCCCACCCTCCAATGCTTGGAAAAAACATGCCCTATAACAGTGTGCACTACCAAAGCTAGATGACAAGGGCAGTCTGTTCTCATGCAGTAACGGGCTTCCTACCAGTTTGCCACTCGCCGTGTCCTTTTTATTAGTAACTAGAGGCCAGTGCACAAAGTTCGTGCAAGAGCAGGCCTTCTTATCCCCAGCTGCCACACTGCTTCCCTCTGGCACCCGGGACCCAGGACCTGGGCTTCCCTCCAGCCGCCAGCAGGCACCTGGGACCCGGGCTTCCCTCGCAGCCCCGGCTACAATCTTGTCTGGTCTAATTAGCATATTACGCTTTTATTATTATAGATAATCCAAATCCCACTTTCTTGGCCTTTTCCACTTCCTGTTTACCCTGCGTCTTTTTGCTGCTGCAAATTCGAACGGTATTCTTAAAATAACTTAGTTCCTATGACTTCAGGCCTTCTGACTGTCTCAAAATACTCTGCTCCTTCTCAAGGAACTGGTGTTTCTCCTAAAATAATGCTCAATACTTAACCTAATCAAATGGCATCCATTTGAATAAGATGACAGTAACTAAAGCTCGTTAATGTCAGTGACATTAAACTAACTCCGGGACTCGGGAGTTTTAATGGTAGCATTTAGAGTTAGTAGGTAGAGTGGGGCTTCATTTCTCCGCGGGAGCCCATCACCCTGTCCCGTTTCCTAGTCTGTCTCTACTTCAGGCATTCTCGCTGGTGCGTTTGGTGGTTGCTCACTCCACTGTTTCAGAGTCTCCACATTAGCCATTTGCTTCCATTTTTATGTTGCAAAGGTAGCATTGATGTTTGGGTTTCTTTTTTTTCTTCTTTTTGTGTTTGGAGCCTTGGTTTCTGTTTTCTGAGTGAGGCTTATCTTATTTTTTTTTTTGGTTACTATTCAAAGGCACAGAAAAAAAAATTCAAAACTCCTTTTTCAAGGTTCATTCTTTAACACTCAAATGACATTAACTTGTATTACTCTTAATCCTCACGACGGTGTGTTACCCGTGTACACATAAGGTTAATTTGCGAGGGTGTTACTGCTGAGCTGTCTGGTCTTCGTGCCATTGGGAAGCTGTAGAAGCTTTTACTTGTGAACTGGTGATGATCTGATGCTTTATTTAATTAAAGGGCTACTGTTGCCTCCAGAAAACTTAAGTATTTCATATCGATTTTTTTAATTTTTTGCTTTTTTCCCCCACCCTCTTTGCTCCTCATGTTTGTTCTTCAAACCAGTGTGTTGGAGGTATGCATGCAAACCTACAAATGATGGCCACAACTCTTGGTGTGTGTGGCATGTGTATTATGTCTGGCTACATCTATAGAACACTTCCTGTCCAGAGGTCTGGACTGGCATTTTACATGCACATTTCCAAATAAAATGCTTCAGGTAACACAGACCCTTTACCTGCCAGGGAGGGCAGCATGGGCTCCGTTTGCCCCACTGACATCTCATATTTGTTTTCAAAGTGAGTGTCATACATGTTGCACAATATTAGGACTAGAGGTGTGCCAGAAATAAAGCAAAAGAAATTTCTATTTTCATGACGGTAATTTTATCAGTCATTGCTCACAAATATAATATAAGTGAAAATATAAAATTTCTGAAGACCAGAAATTGTCTGAGACACTCCCTGATTTTTAATGTGGAGCAGTCATTGCAAAGTAGCTAAATTTCTCCTTCCACTTGGTATTTCAAGAAAATATAAAATAGCCCACGTAAAAAGAGATTTGTGTTTTAAAGTGACTGTCTGCACAAGTAAAGATCTGATTTTGTGTGCATGAAAGGGACGTCCTGGGCATGTGCAGAGTCATCTCGCGTGTGCTATATTTTCCATTTGGAATGACACGCAAGCTGACACTATTCTCTGATTTATAACAAGAAATCAATGTTGAAACGATCAAGGTGCAACCACTATCAATAATTGAGGAGAAGCTTTGAAAGATGGTAAGCTGGCATTGGAAGGAACACCATGGCAGACACTTTTTTTTTTTGTAAATTTATTTTGTATTTAATTAAATACAGTAGAAAGGCTGGTGACGTGTAATATAACTGTGTAAACAAATCCTGTTAATAGAGAGATGTACAGATTCGTTTTGTACTGTACCTTGAACCTTGTGAAATAAAGATCCCACCTGGTTATCCTGTGTGCTGGAATGTGCCCCGACTAAGCACCTTCCCGGGCGGCCTGTGCTTTAAACACCAGTGGTTCCATTTCTAATGAATCTTTTTTGCAATTTCAGAAGCCTCTGGGAACATTTATTTGGGGAAGTTTGAATCCATCTTCCCTTTCAACTCCTGAAATTCAGGTTTCTATAAGTTAACTCTTACCTAGAGGAGACCATGAATTTGCTAGGAAATGTTACCTTTTTTTTTTTTTTTCCAGCCAAATACATAATAAGCATGATCCACTTTAATCCTGATGACAGGAAAAAGTATCTCAAGTTTCTTTATGCATGACCTTGTCCCAGAAAGTTTTCAGAGGGCTTACAGAGCTGCAGACCATACAGAGATAAAATTTATGTAAAACAAGCCATCGGATCTAAAGGTAAAACGAAAAATACAGTATTAAAGCAGGAGCGAACCTGACACACAAAAGGCACAGCAGAAATAGGCTTCTCACTTCCTAGACGCCAATTTGAAAAGGAAATTGAGCTAAAATGTTCCTGCTTTGAAGCATCTGATTATTGGCTAAAAGTCTGATGATGCAGACTGCAGCAAATGAGAAATTCGATCTCAGATTCTACTGGGAATACCACCAGCCCCCCCAGATGTCCGTGACTGACCTTGGTGAAAATAAAAGCGTTGGGGGAGTCAGAGCCTTGGCATGCAGGCGCAGTTGGCTCCTTCAACCACAGTTGGGTGTGATGCCTATTTACCACTGAGCCCCTTTCTGACAAGTCATCAAAATGGGTCCTCTGTCGTCATTGGATGTGACTTGATGAGAAACAGCCTCTAACTTTTTATAACACTAACTTTGGTTATACTAGCCTTAAAATTTGCTTATTCTATGTTACAGCAAATATATAGATCTATTCAAGTAAAACATTAGAAGT